CAGGTCTAAAGCCTGTTAGAGATGATCAGATGTTTTTCTTATCTTATATTCCCACGGTTTCTGGAGTTGTACTACCACACGGGCGAGCTGCACCTGATTTGGGAACTGATGGAGATTATAGTGAACTATATTTTAACTGCCTGGTGGCTGGTCAATGAGACTGAGCTGGTATATATTCTCTGGTCAGTAAGTATTGCCAGCGGCCATTATGTGACGGGAAGGCAGTGGATACTAATCTAAGCAGATTCTTGATAATATTAGATTCCTTCGGGATTAGGAAAGAGTATTAACTATTCTAGAGACAGAGATAATCTTCTTGGACTGAAGCAGCTATATTAGTCTTAGTAATTATATTTCTTTGATTGTTACTATGAATATTATTAACTGACTTGGCGCACTAGCTGGGGTGGAACAGAGCTACCAGATCTCAGTATCCAATATAAATACTGAGATGCTGAAATTGAATGTACTAGTAATAATCACAAGAAGTCTAATAGCCACTGGTACAGGACAGATCAGATAGAGCTCTAAGATCCAAGCCTTCCTTGAAAATCTGACCACCAAGTCTTTGGATGAGTTAATACAGGTAAGTGGGCAGCTAAGAGATAGAGTAATAATTGATAACAGAGTTCTAGAATACATTTCTCGAAGCAGCAACGGACGAAAGAGATCTAAAGCTGTGTGTCTATGTTGTAAATAAAAAAGCCAGAAATAATCTTGTACTACTCTGACTAGTCTGGATCTGATGGCATCCACCATCATCTAGACATGTTTGTGAGTGAAGTTTCCGCAGTAAATATTTAGTAACTATTCAAGCTGACAGTGTCCTTTATGTTGTCATGCTATTTTTTTCATGAACAGTTGGTTGGTAACTCGTTGTAAATAATAAATACTGTATCCTTATTCCTAGTTTCACAGTACTAGCAGATATTAATTAGGCTTGAGTTCCGCAATATTATCTCTCAGATATATAGGATCTACATAGAGGTTTGAGTGGTTGATACACGCTGGGTACTAGGAAGGTATACTCTTTGATTATCACAGTAGTAAGTAAAATATATCAGGATATCTGTATCCAGCATCTCAAGCCACGTAACGGCCTACATCAGTTTAGTCTCAGTATCAGCTATATCATAGACAGTCTCAGAGATTTTTCTGGTATTCCAGCTCTGGAGAAAATGTCCTCGCGCTGAATAATAACTCCATGAAAAACTGTTTTATTTACCAGCTTTACCAGTAGCTTCAGGACTCCTGCCCCGGCTACTTGTTTAGAAAAAGTTGTGCTTTCCGGTCAGCCGGCTGGTATGGCTGGCTTAACTGAAAGTCAGAGACACGAGCGCCCATCCCCGTGTCCAGATACTTAAAACCCATGTTACTATATAAGGAGTATGCTCACTGAATGTTATCTAGGAGAGTGTGTCAGGAAGCTAATATAATTATATAGTCTACCTACAGCTGCCACGGGCATTTCTTTAGTTGAAAGCACGACATGTCCCAATAACTACAAAGGTTAATATAACAAGGCCAGGTAATGGAAGAGTTTTCTGACTATTATTCATGAGGAATGATGAGGGATAGCCGGAAGCTAATTACTATATCAGGAAAAGAGTAACTGCAGTTCTAAGAATAGATATGTCAGTCCTTGAGAAGCCCGGCCTTCGTTTGCTCGGGATCAAAGGCTTGCTAGTTTATCTGATTAACCAACAGTGTGTTGAGTACAATCCGGGGTCTTGGGTTGGTCTTTGGGGCTTCTAGGCCGGCTGTTTTGACTGATGAAGATGGTACACATTATATAGTCTGTAATGTCCTTGACCCTATCTTTTATTTGATTCATCTAAATGATCCCTTAGTAAATGTTGTGTTAAGAGGATCCTAACTCATGTTTCATAGCAAGCTTGGTAGCTTCGCAACACGGATAGTTTAATATACTAGAACAAACTTCCTGGCATTGGTCAGCCCCCTCTATCTAGAAGTTGTCATTATAATACCATACCAGCTGACTATTCCACGACTCCAAATTTCTTTGGTGAATCACAAGTTCCCATATCTACATATGGTCTGTCAATTCCAACCACCCGGTCTGTTTTCGAGAATTAGACCATGCGTGTGCTCACAATGGCGGTAGATAATGCCCATATAATCATAACTATGGCAAGAAGCATGACTGAATCTGAGAGCAGAATTTTATATACTTTCACCAGCTGCTGTCCTCGGTGAAATAGAGCAAGGAAGAATCAAGAAAGAAGTTCATACTCTCCATATATGTTACCCAATTTGCTCATTTGGCAAATGCGCAACCTACACCGTCTATCATTTGAAAAAGAGGTCAGGATATGTTGCGTGAGATGCTCAGATGCGATCAGTATGTCCACACTTTTTGCACTCTGGTCAATTTGGTGGACATCCCGACAACCCCACTTTTGGTAGGGTTGGATTGGAAATAGGTTTTGTTGGTGGGTGGAATGCTGCTGGCGGGACGAATTCTCATTGGTCATATCCGCCCGGAAAAATTGATGCCCGGCACGGCCATGCTCGACATTGAATATTTGAAACTGGAGGCATCGGAGGCTGAGCAAATTATCAACCTGCTGACCTGGTTTTGATGAGCGACCCCTTAGAGTGGGCAATATATTCAATCTTGGCGCGCCTGTCGATTCTCTAGGTGTCTCGTGGAGTTATCAGAAGCCGGTTGTGCCGGACCCGCTGGAGTAGCTAGTATTGGTCATGTTACATATATATATTTATAAACAACATTTACCATTCATGTACGAAATGTATAGACCATTGATGCACATGATTATTGTACCATCGCGAGCGACAAGGCTCACATTGTGGTAGCCTAGGGTAATAGTATATACATATTCCAGTATTGTATACCCATGTGTTGATCTCTTTGCTTTACGCTCTAAGTGCAGTGGTCGAAACCCGAGGACATAAATATTCCTTCGGTGCGCATTCGGATTCTCCAGGCGGGCATCAAGTTGAACCCCTGAAACAACTTCCCGAAAAGGACTAAGTTCGGTCCTTCCCGAGCCCCAGCAAATGTTGCTGGTCCAAGGCAACAACGATCGACCAGAGGGCCGGACCAGAGGGCGGTGAAAAGACGTGCGGGCCTGGGCATCTGAACAGATTAATGCCCGCACAGATTGAGCAATCCCGTTCCCGGAGACGGTATCGCAAATATTTAACCGTGTCTACTCGGTGATTCTTTTATCATCTTTCCCCATCTCTCGCCATCTTTTGACCATATCTTCACCATTCCTTGCCACTTTACCTCTCATCTCTCACTTCCCCCACTTGCCTCCCTGTTTCTATATTTTCCTTTTCCTTTTTCCCTTCTGTGACCCGCTTCATTTGCCCTAGGCCTGGTCTGCAGGTCATCCAGCTCCCCCACTCCATCGGCCGCGATCAGGCACTTCAAAAGGCGAACATCACATTCTGAAAGACGCATATTCGCGTCCAGCCTGGCCAATCCCTCTTTAGCGTGGAGCCGACTCATGCTGCTTGCACGATTGGGAGATTCGGGCCTTGATGCGCGGTGTAGAGTCATCCGAAGGATCGGGCATTCTGTGCATCACAAATTGACCTCCGGCCACAAGAGAGCACCAGCAGGCACCAGCGGGGAGTTCTGCGTCTTCGGCCGCGCACAAACATACTGTAACCCCACTGGTCACTATCATAAGGCTCATCACGAGAGCCAGAACGGTAGTCTTGTCGGATGGTTTGCCCGTTTCCCACCCATCGGCTCCTGGATTCCCGGAGTCTCAGATTATGGTTTGCCCAGGTACCGCTAGGCTGCCTCATTGTTGCGAGATCTCCGCCCCAAGCAGTGACAAGACGGGCAATCTCCGAGGCCCTGTGAAGCATGACCCGTCACCAAGGTCGATATCTGACGAGCGGACCATCTGAAGGCGTTCGGACGCGTCTGAACGCCGAGTACAGTATGGATCAAGCAATCGGTTTGACCAGACATATGTACGCGGACTGGTAGATTTCTTGTCCGAAGCGAACCAGGGGAGTTACCCAGCTCTGGCGACGCCATTGATCCTTTGTGTCATTATTCGGGCACAGGATATACTACAGATGGAACCGAATCCGAGTGAATACTGTATACATTATACCATAAAAGTTAATCTAACTATTCTACATCACTGGCAGCAGGCATTGATGGAAACGGACTTCCGTTTCATACGGGCCTCCATTCTGCCCGTGATGCACGATGTGGCACCGATGCTGGTAAGAACCGCCGGCATGGCGCGAGCAGATCTTGGCTTCCTTGCGTCATGAGTGGATATACTCTGGCAAGTACTAGTCCTCAGCACTGCGTAGAGGTCTCTGCCCATAGCTGAAGTGTTTCAGAACAACAGAGTCCTAAGAATAAAAAGAACCTGATCATCTGGGAACTGTCCAGGGCACAGGTGATACGACATGGGGGCCATGGCCATGAAGGGGACATCTCCGAAGAGATTGATACGACACAGGCCCGCCATTCCTGTGAAGGTGCACACTGTTGCGCTTGCGCATTCCAGTGAGTGAGGACGGGAAGCCTGGTCCTGGAGCGAACAAGACTGGGAGACGCCGGCCTTATATCTCCAAGCGCTCCGGTTGCCCGGCAAGACTAACCGTGCAGCATTAGTATCCAGCCTCGCCGACTTCAAGTACCAGAACCGTCATGCGGTCGAAATGGACTTTAATGGTCGTTTGAGTGCGGGGTGGGCATCTGGCCATCTCTGCGTGTGCTCTCTCCTACCAATTGCCCAGGGGCATATGCTGGCCTTAAGCGAAGAGCAAATCCCGAAGCCACCTCCCCAAATGACCATGCAAGCCTCGGTTCAAGACGCCATCTGGGGGAAAATAGGATCGGCGTGGGCAGGGCGAAGATGTGTGCGACTCATGGGACGGCGCCGTTGGTCAATAGGCGTCTCAAGTACACAACAATACTTGGAAAACGGTTCCAGATCTGACCAGTGGGCTCAGTGGAGACCATTTAGAAACAGTTGGGCAACCGTGGTCCGACAGAGCACAATGACTACTGATTCCTCCCTTTGTTGTAGTACTTCCCATTGTCTAGAGCACCGGTGCCCAGTACCTGACCGCTGTCAACTTGGGTAATCTACTAAGATGTTATTTTCCGTGTAATGCACTAAAAGCTTCCCAAAATTCACCTTGGGAAGCTTCTTGTCTACCTGATCTTCAGAACGGACAATGTCCCCTTTGAAACTCAATAGGACAAGCTGGGATTGTGTATCAAGTATCACTAAAATCTGAATTCTATTACTTTGTATCAATCTTTTTTATCAGGCCCACGTCTTATTCTCAAAATAGGCAGAAGAGAGAGACCCTCAATAAGGGAAAATATCACCTGCGCCCAGAGTGATTCCCGGGCTCTACATAATTATGGCACGGGGAGAAGCGTGACCCCCTAGGTAGCATCTAGTTCCATACGAGGCAACGCCATGGACGAACCAGATGGCATTACGTCGAGTGGGTACTTTTTCTTTGTTTTACTGACCTGCGTCTAATGGGTTTCTAGGCCACGGTGAGCGGCACGCTCAATTAAGGTTTGTTGGGGCTTTCTCAGTTCCTGCCCCACCGGTGAGGTTTTCTTGCTCGCTATTCAGGGGTATAAGCCTTGTAGTGGGTTTTTTCTTGTTTAATTCTCGCATATTTCTCAGCTTCGAGGCGTCGACACAGATCTCGTGTGATTGCGCTATTTGTGGTCTTGGAAACACTGCGCTTGCGAGGGAGTGAAGAATCAAACATGACCTTCCGGATTACTCTATAGATGGATAAGGCCAGAACGAAAGGGTCAAATATCCATGTCGCTCAATGTCTCTAGGCAATCTGGCCGACCAGAACCGGTAGCCATGGTAAACTGAGGGTAACGGTGGGCAACATCGTGGCTGGTACCATGTGCTCAAGACAGAATATCTCAGTCATCGAGAGCCTGTCGGTTAGGAGAACAGAGAAAGTTATCACTGTGTTTTGCCATGGTGGATACTGCTATCTTGAGGGCCAGGCGGTTGTGCTCATAGCAATAGAAATGCCCGACTCTGTACTCTCTGAGTTTAATCACATACTATCATGAGTAGTCATGTTGCTTTCAGCTATGATAATCCGTGCTATTACAGCACCTATGTTATCAACTTCTACATACCTCACCTGCGTTGCTTCTTCGGGTCATATTCATTCTTTTGATAGTGACGTTCAGGCATAGCTGGCTCGGTCAGATAAGAGAATGTTGCGTTGACTGTTGATGAATGATGAGTTTCTGACCACCAGACGCGAGCCCTGTCATAATCGACCGTGATTCTGTGCCTTGACCTGATACAGTACCGAGATTAGGTTAGCTCAGCTAGATGGCCGGGCGTTTGAGGAAAGCTCTTGTTGGAAGCCTCTGTTCTCGGAAGCACCGTCAAACGTTGACCTGGGTTACATCAACGAGATTAATACGCGGGTTTTCCATAGAAACAATAATCAACCTCCAATCTCTCCTCATCTCAAGTGACTCGGCAAAGTATGATGTTCAGTCAGAGGATGAGTCCATTCAATTGGGTGATAGCAGTACACAATAGGCCCTCGAAGAATGTCTGTCTGAAGAGTGCCTGTCTGGTAGCTGGGTGAAAGACCTCACACCAACAAGGTCCTCTACCCAGGCTCTGTGCAAAGCAGAGCCCGGTTGGGTCAGAAAAGGGAGGTATATGGTTCGAACAAGATGCAAATTTCTAAAGATGACCAGCGAGGGCTGTGCTTAACTGAAACCACGGCTTCCCTGCTGGTACGCGAACGGTCGAGTGGAGAGACAAAATTGCCCGTTCATTTCAACGAATTTTCACCGGGTAGCGAAAACTTAAATACCCCAGATCTGCTCTGTCACTCTACTTGCATCATCATACGGCATCACGCTTAGTTGGAATCAACAAACTTGTAGGTAACCGTCTGTTTCTCATCCAAAATATGGTGGGCCCTTTGAGATGCCGGATCACGGTCTACTATAATTCGTGCCTGGGGATCTGGATGTCCTGCAGACCAAGAGAAAGGGCAAGTGGAGCCGGTGGAAAAGTGGTAAAAAACTCCACCAGGTAGGCAAGATCAGGTTTTCCATTCAACCGTTTTCTTTAGAACGGGTACGTGCCATGAGAAGTTGCGGGACATTAATATATATAAAATTGCCCGGCTAGTATGGTGTTCCTAATCAGGTATAGAGCATCACGCTTGGCATAGAAAGTGCGCGGTCTATAAAGTCACCTTCATAGACCCATCAACAGCAGCCAGCTTTCATGCGATAGTGTCCCGTCCTCTAACCATCCTTTTTCTCAAAGTATTGTAAGGGATTTCCATAGATGTGACTTTTCATTTCCTACACTTCCCTAGTCCTCTTACTGGAGTGAGAAGGCTGACCCGGTTTGAGGCCGAGTCAACATCTCCAGGCCCAGTGAGGATAAGGCATTGTTGGGGCAGGAGATATTTCAACAGTACACCCGAGCCTTACTCACAGATACTAGTCTGCTTGAGTGGGAGTTGCAGCAAGCCTGCGTACCCACCAAATGACAACAAGAGCTCGTTCTGACTTGTTGCCACGAGCTACGGTTTAGGAGGTGCTTCTACAGGTAAGCGACCAATTTTTACAGATTTTTGGTTCCTTATTAGATTGGGCAGGATGCATCCTCCGCGATTCCGGCCGGGAACATATTCGGTTTCATCTCCCGAGATTTGCGTATGGAATTCCTACTGCATCGCTTCTTCTCCACCGCTTCTGCAACGGCATGCTCATGTTCTCTCCGGGAATCTGTGTATACCAGCCCGGACCTCTTCTTCCGTTGTCCAGGCGAATTCGTGTGTTCGTCGTGCAATCTGCCGTTGAATTGTGAGTCCAAATACCTGCCCGAAGTAGGCAGAAATTTTCAGCTTATCAGTTTCGGAGACGCCGACTTTAGAGGGATATCCAATTCGGAGTTGCCTCACTGCCTTCAGCTCGGCTCCGTCGTTTGACAGGAAGCGGGAGAGTAATATTGGGTAAATACAGATTAGTATTTCTTCTAATAATCATGTGTAATAAGATATATCTCTGCTTTTTATGTGTTCACCTCAACTACGGTCCTAATACCCAGACTTACTAATTTTCAAAGCATGTTAGAGAAGGAAATAGACTGATTATTTATCTTATTATTGTATATTCTGTTCTTGGAGATGATCACGGTACTCCTCCAGATACTATGGATATGGCTGTTGAATACAAGTAATCTGGTGAGCCAGAGAAATGAAATGATGATATATATTTCTTGTAATTAATATCTAAGTGGGAGTGCGGTTATAGTTTACTTGAGAAGCTAAAAATATTGCTGACCGCTTCTATAGAATAATTTCTGTATTGCTAAAGGTAATCCTGAACCTCTGCTGTATGATTCCGATAAGGTGGGACATCCTTGGCGAATATAACTAATAGATGGATGATATAATCTGATATTTACTCCGCGCAAGTTGGCGAGAAATATGGGCGAAGCTGTCTTCCAGTGCCCAGAATATCTATTATTAACTATAACAATACAACTCTAACAAAATGGCTAAATCATGTATTGCAATTCTAGCTACTAATAGCCTCTATCATAAGAGCAATTGGTAGGCGTCTCTGGTCTGTCTCCTTTTGATGGTTATCCACTGACAAGAGAGACGTCACACTACTCGGGATCCTAAGTAATAGTATAGAATGAATTAACTTTTAAATGTATCGGCGAGATGAAGTACTTATCAGCAAGTCCACAGCAAGAAGGTACTCTTGCAGTATATTTAAAATAAAAAGGGAAATACAGACTTTTCACTTGTTAATAAACTTTGTTAGATACTAACTGCATAGTATTAAATTCTCAAAGACTAGATTATACAGTAGCATTATTATACAAATCAGTAGTTAATGAGAGAGGTAAGCCAACTCATTATATTTAAAAAGTATACTTGCTCATTAACTTCCTGGTTGTATAATTTCATTTCAGCAAGATCGTACAATGGAAGCATCCTCTACAGTACCTATATAAACGGATGGTGAGTATTAAGAGTGATGCAATTGAAATAATTAACTCTACTTGTTAAGGATTAGAAGGGGGATCAAACTTTTCTGATTATTATATAATAAATTTAGGTTTCTTCAAACCAGTGTATTTTGCGGGGATAAATGAGCCTAAACCAACGTGTAGGCCTGAGGTATCTATGAACTCCGGCTGAAGGGATGAGTAAGCTGGTAAACAACCTGACATATAATTCTCTCCTGACTCTATTCCCCGTGCTGGATAGAGCCTTCTTCCCTGTTGAGTTACTTTCACTTGATTATCAGCTGAGCAACTCTTTCGAAACGGGATAGAGAAAATAATAGCCAAATTATAATATTAGATTAAAGAATAACAAAGGCTGCGAGAAGCAGTAGAGCGCTATGAGAAGAAAAAAAAAAAGATATAAAAAGATACTGAATATTAAATATAATCTAATTTTCTGTTTTATCTTCTTGATCACTACCACAGTTCTTTTTTTTAAGTAATTTGAGTTAAGACAGATGCTATCTTTACTACTCAGAGCAACATGGCTAATCTAATAAACTGATTTTATCCCAAGTACATCGTCCCTTGGCGTGACTTCCCCTAATTATAAGAACTGATCTGGGATAAATTTAACTGTAATAATATCTTTATTATGTGTTTACTATTCCTCTCTGATACCCAAATTGATTATGTCCTGATAAATATCCAGAACAGACTAATCTTTTCGGAAGCATCTCTTTGGAATTTTGAGTGAGACACGGTGGACAACTTTATTAAAAAGATTATTAAGATTTTGGAAGACAATGAACCCCTTCGAGATGAGTTTAGAATCCAAGGCCGAGTCATCTTCTATGATCGCGCAAACCCGTCGGAAACTATGCTTGAGAACAGCCTAGAGTAAATAAATCTCGAGGACGCGCAGACATCCCAATGATTGGCAAATACGAGGCTTGGAAGAGGCCCAGGACGAGGAAGAGGAGCCATGTGGAGATAGACAAGGGATGACACTGCACGATAATGCAATCGGCGCGCTGACCAGTATTGCGTGTACCTTGTGGCGGATGAATAGCAATACCTGGGTATGCAGTGGAGTTTGAAGCGCCACACAAAGTAACTATTCCTGAACTGGTAGCGGGTCTACACCTGATAGATCTGGATTATAATATCATTGACTAAGAGGGTGACACGTTTAGTTTCTATGCCACCTGCCTGGTCGCGGCCGTGGTCACTCAGATATTCTCATACATGATCAACAGTGGCGTTCGATACAGCTATATCTGCACCGGGGAGGCTTTCATTTTCCTTTACATTTTAAAGAATGATCCCACCATTATTCAATATTTCTTGTGTATCCCGAATCAGGATGCGCAGGCGGATGTGCAGGCGGATAATGAAGTACGCCTCCACCGGACCGCCATCAGTCAGGTGCTTGCGTTCACGCTTCAAGCGCTGGCCGTCGAACCTCCGACTCAAGAATGGCACGATGTGGCACACGACCAGCTAACAACCTGGAAGATCGAATATCTTGACATGTTGAGAGAAATTCCCGAAACTCTCTGTAAAGACCCGCCGGCGTCTGATTATCGGCCCTCTCACTGGAAACCAGATCAGAAAATACACAACACACGCGCTCGCGCTCGCGTTCCCGCGCGTTGTCAACCGGGCGCACCTACACCGAAGCACTCGTCCACTGAAGGCAGCGGCAGTGATCAAGAATCGCATTCGCCATCTACCGCAGTCGCGTCGCGCATCCGACCGAGCCGCGGCCAAGGCAACCACCGCCAGTCAACCCGGGGAGATGAAGGAACACAAGCCGGCCGATACTACAAACAGACCTCTCGAAAAGACAGGCCTTCTACGCGACCATACTACACTATTACGTGCATCCGCGGCTTGACTAACCGAGAACCACTAGATAAAAGTTTCTATAACTGGAAACTCCACGGTGGTTCATGACACTCCATTAGACTGCAGGAGTTCACACACCAGCTACATCATTAACTAGCCCAAGATCAGGAGCTTGGCTTCAAACAACTGCATGTGTATAATTAAACAGAATATCTTATCAAAGCCACCCTCCTTTCCTGCGGATACACAGTGATCATGAAAATAATAACTATAGAGAAGCAGCATCGCCTTCAAATAGAAATAAACAATTACCACTGGCTCCGGAACTTACAGGGATAATACATCCCTGTCTGTCTTAGGGACTTTAAGCCTTATATTACATATTAGTACCACAGTAAGCTAATAACACAGATAATAATCTTAAGCTGGTCTAGAATACAGCTTCAGCATATTATCTATAATAAAAATTCCTGCTTCTTCTACCAAGAGCATAACAGAGCTCTGGCTACATTCCAGTCACGTGGAGTTATCCACTGCAACAGTAAGTAATATAATATACTGTGAGATAACCTGAGTTACTGCTTAATTATCATTAATCTAGAGGATATAAAATAGTTAAAATATACTAGAACCCTTAAATCTGTCTCTACGAATATACAGTAAAGTCGTTGCAGCAGAGCAATAAAATATAAACCCGGCTTAGAAAAAGTAGATATTCTGCAACACAGCAGTATCTTAAGCTTGTAACAGTATGATTAGAAATATTACAAAGCATTCCACCACAAGATATCATGACTTTAACTTACACTGAGTACTAAATATATATTTTATAATATAAATCCTACATATTACAAGAGCGCGACTGCACAGCAGGCTTGGATAACAGAATTATCTATATAATCTTCCCAGGCTTTACAGCTAGAGATACATCCTATCAACCATCTCCTGTTGACCAGACTCCTTCAAAAATTTTTATTTGATTTCACAGCTAGCTTAAGTACTTAAAGATCACTTAGTTAGTATCCACCTTAGCAAGATTATATATAATAGCCATAATATTTTTGATCTGGCTCAAGTTAGCAAGTAAAAAATGAACAGCAGCACTCTAGTATCTACCCTACATCCATTTAGAACCAAAGACTATAATTATCAAAGGTTATTCCTCACAATAACAGGTCCTTGCATCGTACGTGTGTTGGATGGAAACATTGACTAGAGATCTCTGCGAACTCCCTCGATAAGTTTTCATAGTTAATGGTCAAATGAGCCCGGCTGATAATTACATCATCAAACTAGATACTCTAATTCAACATCAAGAAAAAGTCTCCTAATATTCCAGCTTCCAGAGAAAGATGATCACAAGAAGATTTTAAGTATCATGGTAAGATATATACTGCTTCATGAACATAGCAATCTCATCCAAGCAAAGCATGGCATCAAAATATTTATTAATCTGGAATACTGCTTCATGCTATTGCTCAAGCGCATTCGAATCACCGTGGTTGACTTGGCATTTCCATCAATTATATTATCAAACGGTACCGTCGGTATCAGACCCAGGGTGGTTTTCACCAATAACAAGAGCAAGATCTTGGTTTCTAGAGAGAATAAAAAGTAATTAAATAATTTAAATATTCAGTGAGCAAGTAGTATTACTGCTGTGGGATTACATAGTCCTGGCTATTCATATTCTCTGCATATTAGTCAAGCTCTGTGAGGAAATGAAGAATAATATATTACTTAATCTAAAAATACTCCAGACTCCAGCGGGACCACTAAATAAAGACTTTCTGAAGGGTCTGGTATACTATCCTTATCTTCACCTCTCCTGATAATATCAAACTGTGGAATAGAAATCATCTTCTGGTAAGTTCCTCCTATGATCAAATCCATGCTTCAGACGTAGGCGATCATTGATAATGTTAGCAGATATATTATCCAAGATTCCATATATAAAAAGTGCTAGCCAACAGACTACTTCTCTAGTTTGTGAACTATTCAAGGCGGAATATCTACTGGTCAGGTTCTTCAACTCTGGATTACACGTCGCCCAAGTGATAGCATCTGCATACAGCATGCAGGATCTGCGTCCGAAGGAGGTCGAGTGAGAGCATGCTCGGGCTGTTAAGGCTTAACTATGGTCTTTGTGTACACGCACTGAAGCTGACATTGGATTAAATAACTTTTCTATTATCCATTACAAGATACACTTCTTTTCACAGACCTTGACATTAAATTCAAGAGTAGCCAATTCATCGCCTTTATTAATCCATCCGGCTGTAAAAAGATAATTATAATATCTTACTAAAAAGATTCTACAACCCTTACCAACCGATAGTTCTTATCAACGAAACCACGACTCTTCGAAAGAACCATCCGTAATAATATAATTCTCGGACTCAGCAATCCTGAGTTCACCGAGATCAATCTGATTCAAGCCTGCGAGGACGTAGATATTCACGATCCCATTATCTGCCTCCCGGATGGATAGTCGATCTATCGGGCATCAAGGCTCAATCATTCCTGGGTGAAAGACAATGATAATGCCCTGGTTTTATGCAGGTATTAGTACGCAGACCATTTCTCTACTTGATGAAGTGATATTGAATCAATCTTCACTCTAGTCCCAAAAAAAAAGGTACAGGCAGTACTCAGGCGCTTGGCAGCGAGGAGATATATGACGATTGTGGCAGTTATGCATATACTGGCTATTATACTGAAAGCGGACACGGCATTTGTCTTTGGTGTAAGCCCGAGCAGATATGGGTTCAGGTCGTGGAGCTGGGAAGTTATCAGGAATTGCTACGGGATAATAAGATATGTTGGCATACGGTAAGTATTAACTTGATTTTTTATATCATTATGCTTACTGATTAATTTCCAGTGTCAGGATAATGCTCTTGATTAATAATTATATACTACGTGATGTCTCTCTGTATAGATGTCAGTGTGTTCAGAGAATCTGTTTATTAGATATTACTTTATCATACCCACAGTATCATGGATTAATAGGCAGATAAAGAAACCACCCTTCTCATCTATACTCTCTCATTATACTCCGGACAAGTCTCAGAAGTATACAACATGTCTCATTAATCCATCTGCTATCTAAAGCCAGTCTCCTCTACTTCCCATGATTCCTAGCCATCTGCACAGTTTTCTTTGGAACACCATAAAACTCAGTGCTACTTGCTTGTTTTCTGCTCTTGGTAAGTCTCGTCTTCTCACTAGCCTGCGCCATTAGGGCCGTACGCGAAAATTCCCCATATACCTATATAGATCACCAGTATCAGAAACGGGAAAGAGAGGAGGCGAAAAAGAGCCCCACAGTAACTTATACTAATTACACACAGGATTCTTTAATCTATTATTCCTGCTCAAACACCCTTGACTGTGAGGCAGACCGGGTGTGTTGCAATGATACTATTATTATCAGCAGAAATATTAGGAGAGAGACCATTCACCGGCACTTATATTCTGATTATAAAAACATAAACCCAGAAATACTCTTAATATTTCCTCCTCTTTGTCTTAAATAATGATCAGTGATTGTCCGCCGGTTATTCCAGACTCGAGTTTGCTGGGGCACTCATTATTATTATTTCTCATTCTAGCTTTCTTCCTCCGGCTTTATAACTGGAGTTTGCCCTTCCTGGTAGTAAAGCTATTCCCAAATACTATTTATTTAATTTAATTACAGTCTACTATTACACAGTATTAGCTGAACCACTTGATTTTAGTCTTCCCAAAAGTGACTCTGACAGAACATTTAAACATAGCAATTCTCTTATTCATATATATACATGCTAGTTTATCTGTATGATATTAATCTAGTAAACAGTATTTAGTTAATTTTATATACTTAATCTAGAATTAAACCAACACACTCACTTCTTCCTATAATAATCTTTTATACAGCTATTAGATATGTTTTGCTGGGAATATTATTCATTTTTTTAATATATCTTCCTATATCCTCTAACAAGGCTTTTTTGGTGGCTGTTTAAAATCATATAAATTTCAACATTGTTAAGTCCTTTCTGGAGACCTGTATTTATAATATAATATCCTCATGGATAGCGGCCCTGGCCTGCTTTTTCATTATAAAAGATAATATTCTAAGATTTTCAGGATCTTCTTTAATTCATGCACTGCAGATCTCTAAAGCCGGCTCTAAGTTACTAATAAAGTATTATTAATATATTTATTATAAAAAAAAAATAACTCTTACATCCATAAGAACTCTTCCAAATAATATAATATTAGTACTTTTATTATTAGCCCTCATTTCCTGCATCTGCCTGATAATATCATTAACCGCTGACATGCGGCGGCATCAACTTAACAGTGCAGAATTAGTCCGAATAACTTTTAAAATCTTTATAATATAGAACGTTTTCAAGAACAGATTGTCTCGTAGCGACCGGGCGAGATATTACGCAAATAAATAACAGTCTCTTTTATAGCAAAGACAGTTCTCCTCACGTAGCAGCTATTCACAGAAAAGATTATCCCAGTTAACAATAGCTACTTTGGCCATGGCTTCCTTAATTAATAATGTTTTTATACTATGAATCTGGATTATCGCTTCGCTGAGTCGCCTGAATTTGTATTTCACGGCAAGTATGAGCCATCTTTTTGCCGTACTGCAAAACTGATCACCTAGGATATTATTTCTATCGCTTTGGTTATGCCGTTTATGTACGATATCAAATAGTTTGAGAGCAATTTCCTGGCTGGGGTTTCGCATATTAAAGATAAAATTCTTGAAATCAGTGAAGCTGACATATTAAAAAGTAGTAGATTCAAGAGAACTGCCTGCTTTAATACAGTTGTATCAAATTTCACAGTCTCTTTGCGTAATCAGCTCCCCACAGATTATAACAAGGATGTCATATAGGAGAAAAGCAGGGTTATTAATCAGATATTAATAGATAATTAGGTCTATCTTAAGAAATTGTTCTAGAAAAAATAATATCAGTATGCCTTCTTGAATAGTCATAATGATAATCAAATGATTGGCACCCTTCGCTATATTTTGTATATTTAAATCCACCGCTCGGCCAAATATTGGGTTTATAACTAGGGACCGCTCGGATAAGCACCAATCAGATTTAATAAATGTCATAAGTTCCATGACATCTACCTGACCTTGGCATTGCTAGCGCGTTGAACAGAATATTAAGGCCTATATTCAGAAGGTCTTTTTAAGTAAATAAAACTTACTTTTTTTATCAAAGCCACTAAAAAATGGCCCAGAAAGCCTCGCATGAAGTATAAAAAGAAAGAACAAAGACATGCTACTTTACTATATATATAATTTATGTTAACTTTATATACAGAATATAAGGATTCTCCGTGGTAGAAGAGTCCATGAATCTAGGAAAAAGAGGAAAGTTAAAACTAGAATTTATAAGAATATATTTGGTATTGATACCATATATATATATATGTGTGTGTGTGTGTATATGTGTTTTTCATAGTCTGACCTCTCATAAATAAAAGCAATATGCAGGATCTCCCTATTTACCTCTCCCGATATATTCCTTATATACATTAAACCATTACTTTTCTGACGGATTTGGAGCCTGGTCAGGGCCTATGTTGGCCTAGTTGCCTGGTGTTCTGTTCTGCGACGCTTCTGCAAAGTCCAGTACAGCCCCGAGGATGCTGTGGTCTTGTTCAGCGTCTTGTACCTTACCTTCCTTACCTTGTTGCCCTCCTAGCATGTTTAAGATGCTGCTAAACGCAGGTCCAATCTTCCTCCGCAGTTGTTGTCGCAGGTATCTGAATTTCGGCCAGTCCATCAGTACATGGACTACCTTCTCGCGAGCTCCACAGACACACCTGTCGTCGACCTGGAAACCGCGTTGTTTCTGGTATGTTGCCAGCCAAGAGTGACCCATCCGAAGTTGTGCAAGCAGATATGCTCGATTCCGAGGGAGCGATCCGTACAGTCTTCGGATACGGATTGCCGGCAGGGTTCTGTGATCTGGCGGTGCCTTCCCTTTGTAGATTTAGTCCACTCATCCTTCCACTCGTTTAGTATTCTCTTCCGGATGAAGTCAATTTCTCGCGAGAGAAGGAGCTGGAAGGGGTGTATTTTCTTCAAGCTAATCATTTTCTTTACCAGTCAGTCAGCCTCATCGTTTCCAGGGTCGTCACAATGCCCCGGCACCCATTAGAGGCGAATGGGAATCCCTCGTGCTTTCATTTCAGAGGCTGCCTGCAGGATGGCTCGGATGATTCGCCGGCCGGACTTATTGGACGGGTTACGAATTGCTTGTAGCGCTGACATGCTGTCGCTTAAAATAGTTGCGGGTTGTTTCACTCTGTCTAAACAGCCTTGCCTTTTCTGGGCTACTTGAAGGACCAGGCCGATAGCATAGAAGATTACCATGAGCTCGGCTGCGTAGACCAACTATTATTCTATTAAGCTAATACTGATTAGTTGAGATCCTATTATCTACTGGTTGTGAGCAAGAGCTACTGCTGCGGTCTCTAGTTTATTCTTTTTTCCTGAAGCATTAGAGAAGACTGTGATACTGGTTAAGAATTATTATATTTATGTGTTGCCTGTGCTTTCTCCTGATCAGATTCGATCGTGATTTCTATAATGGGCTGGTTCCGCCATGGTGCATGTGGTTTAGGATCAATTATCTCTAAGGCTTGCAACCGCCCCAGGTTCATGGTTCGTAGTGTTTCAGTTAGGGGAAAACGGGCCCCCTGCAGGTATAGATGCTGTATTCCTTTTGCTCGGTCCATTACTTTGTAAACCGGGTGGTCATCTGGCAGGGTGCTGAGGCGAGCAGATATAATCTGTTTCTGCTATTTAAGTTGCAAGTAAGTTGGCAGAGTATAGGACTCAATTTCTAGTATAGTTGTAGATACTGTCTGGAAGGCTGAAAGAATTCAGATAAGAGCTGTTCTCTGTACTGTTTCTAGAAATTGCAGGTATATTAGACTGAGAGTATCTTATACAACTCTATTAGAGTTATATTATATTAGACTGATATATAATTCCCTACTGGTACTCGGAGGTTATTTATAATATATATATTACCTGATTAGTTTGAGGGGTTCTCACCACGTTCTTACTATATAATAAGACCTGAATCCCTAACCCCGCTTTGTCTTTAGCGCAGCATAACTCAGCTCCATGCTGAAAAGGAATTGACCAGGCTGCATATAATTATATATCTTTTATAATGTAATGATTGCCTTTTGAGGTGCCTGATCGCGGTTAATAGAAGACTCAGTAAGAAGCTGAATGACCTGCAGACCAGGGATAGAACAAATGAAGCAGGTCACAGAAAGAGGAAAAGGAAAAGAAAAAGATAAAAATAAAAAAACAAGTAAGGAAGTAAGGGAGATAAGGTAAAAAAACAAGAAATAGTAAATATATAATTAAAAGATGGCAAGAGATGGGAAAAGATGATAAAGAAATCACTGAGTAGATATGGTTAAATAATTAGCAATGCTGTCTTCTCCCCGTGTGTGCCATGGCAATTTCTGCGGGCATTGATCTGTTCAGAGAAAGATTATCCAGGTGGGTATATTATTTCACCTCACTGCCTTTTGATCAGTTCCTCTCTGATCGATTGTTGTTGTCCTGGGCCATCAATATTTGCTGGTGCTCGGGCCCGGGACTAGTTTTTATGAGGAAGCTGTTCAGGGGTTCCACTTGAAGCCTGCCTGGGGACCCCGAATGCGCGCCGAACGAATATTTTTGCCCTCGGGTTTCGACCTTTGGGCGTAGGACGTAAGGCAACGAGATCAACATATGAGTGTACTGGCATTTGAATATACTATTACCCTGAGTTACTACAAAAATGAGTCTCGTCGCCCGCGATTGATAATTATGCGGATCAATGGTCTATACTTTTTGTATATGAATGGTCAATGATATATACAACATGACCCACTAGCTACTCCCGCGTGTCCGGTACAACCGGCATTTGGTAACTCCATGAGACACATAGAAAATCAACAGGCGCGCCAAGATTGAATATATTGCCTATTCTAGAGGATTGCTTATCAAAACCAGGTCAGCAGGTTGATAATTTGCTCAGCCTCCGATGCCTCCAGTTTTAAATATTCAATGTTGAGCATGGCCGTGCTGGGCATTAATTTCTCCGCGCGGATTTGACCAATGAGAATTCGTCCCGCCAGCAGCATTCCACCGCGACAACAGCACCTATTTCCAATCCAACCCTACCAAAAATGGGGTTGTCGGGATATCGACCAAACTGACCAGAATGACTGTATAGATCCATATCTATACGACTAACTGTAAGAGAGTAGAAAGGGGAAGATCGTTGAAGAGAGAAATCCGGACATCAAACCATCGCGAGTTATTGAGGTGTTGTGGCTGTCATTGTGTGCCGAGCGGGCACTAGTCTCGGCCGATGGCGATCCCGCCCGCAGGGGTTATCGAATCCCATCCCACAAACACCCAAGAAACGACAATCTTCAGCGACTATGACTTCCGCCCAAGGATCCCAGCAGCAAGAAAACGCCGCAGGCGAGGCCTCGATGGAGAGGAAAATGAGCCGATCGCGAACCCTGAATTTGCGACCGGCGGAGAAAGCAACAGGCGGGTGACAAACCAAGATGTCCAATAGTACTTCAACAGCTTCAGTGAGGCACTCAAATACCAGACCGAAATAATTAAGACAGTGAGGGCGGAGGTCCAAGAACTGAAAGCTGAACAACAGCTCCTGCAAACCCACAATAAGGAACTACAGGAAGAAATCCAAGCCCTACGGGCTAAATTAAAAATACAACCGCTGAACGTCCCCGTGAACAGATCCTGGGTGGAAGTGGCTGCTGGCAACTCTCAGCCAGACCCAGCGAGAATTATTCTGCGCCCCAGGAAGAAACCCAACTGTGTCTGAATTAATACCGCACCAACCCTTAATCAAGATATTGACAATGACCGATTCTTGAGAGTCCTGCCCACTGAAGTAGCAAATATACATATCAGGACCGCCCTGCTGAACGCGGAGACCACCAAAGAGATGTAAGTCGCGGGCATTAGTACTACCAAAACAGGGTATGTTATTTAATTCCGGGACACCCAGTCAGCGGAGACAGCCCGGAACAGCACTGAGTGGTTGGAGAAGCTGGAAAACAGTACCAAGGTAATAAAGCCCCGGTTTAGGATCATGATTCACCGAGTCCCAACTGAGGACTTTGAACTAGAAGGACACAAGAAACAGGGGATTAAGAAGATTATAGCTGAGAATAATCTTTATAACAAGAAATTCCGGGCCGAAGATATTGCATGGTTGAAGAAGAGGGACATGCCTCTAGGGAAATCAGTCTTAATAAAGGTCTGGTTAGACTCACTGGAGGCAGTAGAATAGATTATTAATAATAGATTATTAGTAGAGCAAAGATTTATCGGGAGCATAGAATCCTACCAGGTGGAAAAGAAGAGGTACCATTACTGCTAATAATTTAGCTACCTAGCCTGGTCATGCAAGGAACAAGTGAAGTGCGGATATTATGTAGGTTACCATGACCATCATCACTGCTTTCCAGGAATAAGACCAAGATACTCAGACTGTAATGGAGAATATCTAACAGGTGATCGGGCATGCCAGACATTTCCTAACCCCAGTCCATCCCAATAACAGCAAACCTTTGCATTATATAGTTAAATATCATGAAATCAAGAACAGAGATAGAAGCCTTTATTAATAATTATCAAAGCCAGAACCTAGACCTACTTCTGATTCAGGAACCGCCAAAGACAGCATACCACACCCATGTTAACCACAG